GGCACTGGCATTAAGCACCTTGTATCTATGGAATTGGAGGAAATACGAGGAAGACAATGTCCAGTCATAAGAACGTTCTGTTTACTGAAACCAAGAGCAGTGTTTGCAGCAGAACCAGGCTGAGGAAGTTGGAATTTCATCCCTTGTTTAGAGACACCCTTCTGATGAAGTCTTAGCCTGGTAAGAAAATTTAAGGAAACTTTTCCAGTCTTTAGGGGACTAGCCATGATGAAGAAGACATTGATTTCCAGTGAGTTCAATCCATATCCTTTTCCTGAAACTATGCTGTAGAAAATTGTTGAGAGGAACATTGCCACTTTCCTATATCCTCTGTATTGGAGAAAAGCCTCTTCCTCTGAAACTTGCAGCTGATGCAATGGCCAAGGAACGCATGGTTTGTAATTTTTACCTGAGAACCTGCTGCTACTAATCCCACACTGCATTTATTAATCTTGTAATCACTGGCTTCTGCAGCTCTACTGTTCTTCCATGTTCAGATGCCCCTGCAGTCAGTGAGGACACATGACACTCTTCATTTCTCAATAATTTTTCTTTTCCTAGCCATATATGTTACTTTTTTTATGCACCTCAACATTTCTTTTTCTTCTAGTTATAGCCAGAAAGAGCTAGTGTTAAAAAATATCCCCAAATGATAAAATAGTTGGCAAGAAAGACGTCAGGAAAGACAGAATAGAAATCAGAAAGGAAACTGACCTCTGTTTGAAGTCAGCATAGAGGATTCTGCTGGGGAACCCTTTCCTGCAGATCCTGATCCCTTCCAGCACGCCGTTACAGCGCAGCTGGTGCAGCACCAGCTCGTGCTCCATGGCACCTAAGCAATAAGGCAATTATTTGATAATTCATGATAAAACATAGAGAATAATGGCTGCATCACACTGTTTTTCATTTCTGCTTGGGATTCTTACCAGGTGTTTTAGACTCATTGGGGATGATGCAGCGCACAAAATGGGGGTGAGTGCTCCGCAGATTGGTCATCAGCTTGTTCAGATTCTCCTGTGGGATCATGAATCAAGGTTTTTAATTAACAAATAGTACCTCCTCAGTAACACTTTCAGATGTGAGAAAAGTCTTGTAAAATATTAACAGATTTGTAATTCCCAACTATAGCCATTTTTAATATGAGTTTTCTTCTGTCTGTCACTCTTCAGCAGGAGAGAAAGTCACAAAACTTTGCAATGTGTTTTAACGAGACTGGGAAATATATCTATATCTTCCCCAGCTAGCCTCAGCTGACTTGCTGTCAGCTCATTTATGAATAAGCAAACACTTATTCTTGATACATAAAAATGTTAACAGCTGCAGTTAAATGGCCTTATCACAGCTAGAGTGAGGTTTTATGATCTCCAACCTAAAATAAACAAATAAATCAAGCCAGGAAAGAAGTGGAGAGAACGACTTTGGTACTCACCCTGAAAAGAGCTGAGACAGTCTGGAAAGAAGAACCCTTCTTCTTGCCTCCCTTCTTGCCACCACCACCACCACCACTAGCCTCTGAAGAACACCAAAAATAAAAGGGAAAAAAATATAGTTTTACAACTAGTAAAGATCAAGTTTTTCATATATAGCAGTTAAGTTAAGAATGGAACATGGAAAAGAAAAATATCTGATATTCGTGGCTCATGTAGAGCCAGAATAAACATGTTAAATAAACATGAAAATTTGAATTTCAGAGAACTGACCTGCCTCTCCACCAGCAGAGGCAAAGAGTAAAGCTAGTGTCTTCAGGGATGACTTCTGATACAACCACACAACCGTTTCATTCAGAGGGTCCTTGTTCTTGTCAAGCCACCCAGTGATGTTGTAGTCCACTGTGCCAGCATAGTGCACCAGGGAGAAGTGGGCCTCAGCCTTGCCTTTGCCAGGCTTGGGCTTCTGGAAGTTGTTGGACTTGCCCAGGTGCTGGTCATAGAGCTTGTTCTTGAAAGAGGTGTCAGTTGCCTTGGGGAACATGCACTCCTCTTCCAGGATGGAGAAGATGCCCATGGGCTGGGAAAAATCACAAGGAAGGAGGGAGGACAAGGTGAAAAGGCAGAAAGACTCAGATATGAAATAACTTCCTGAGTGAGACAATATCACTGCTCTCAGGGATTGTTCTGTTTCAGCAAATCGTAAAATAATACAAACTGATGTATCTGCAGTATCATATCTACCAGTTCCAGCTGCATTTAAAAATATACATAGAATGAATGCATTTCTGAAAATACCTGACATTGTGAATTACAGAAATACCTTCTCAATGAGCTCAATGCAGGCAGCCAGGTCCATGCCAAAGTCAATGAACTCCCATTCAATTCCCTCCTTCTTGTACTCCTCCTGCTCCAGCACGAACATGTGGTGGTTGAAGAACTGTTGCAGTTTCTCATTGGTGAAGTTGATGCACAGCTGCTCCAGGCTGTTGAACTGCACAATTAAAAATGAAGATTATTATGAATGTAAATTAAGAAAGTTAGGGGTAAAGAACAGTGCTGGCTATTTGTAACAAACACCGGAGTATCTGTAAGTGCTCCATCTTATTTGATCCAGAAGTTTGGAATTTCTGTCAGTGTTTGTCAACCTGAACTTTATCCACATATTTATGAATCTAGAAGCTTAGATAATTTTAATAACTCAGATTTTACCAGCTTTGATATCTACTAGACTGCGCTAATTCGGTTACAGGAGAATCCACGGCACAATACTATATCCAACATTAACAAATGTTGATTTCAAATCATGTGCTAAGCCTTCAGGAAAAAAAATCTTCAGTTAGGGATTTCATTGGCATATGAACAAAACAAAAACCTATTTCAAATTAAAATCCTGCGAGAATCAGAATGCTTTAGATACACTATAAAAGAACCATTTTTTTACCAAAAAAAAAAAACAAAAAAAAAAAAAAAAAAAAAACAAAAAAAAGAAAGCCAAAAAAAACCCCCAACAAACCAGCAGCATTCCTTCTGAAGTATTTTGTCACATAGCAATGTGGTTTTAACAGGCATGCTAATAAACCTCTGTTCCTTACATCAAAGATCTCAAAGCCAGCAATGTCCAGCACACCAATGAAGTACTGCCTGGGCTGCTTCGTGTCCAGCTGTTGGTTGATGCGAACAACCATCCACAGGAACATCTTCTCAAACACTGCCTTTGCCAGGGCACCCACTGAATTGTATACCTGAAATATAAAACAGAAAGTGTAATTATCATTCAGGACAAAAGAGAAAGTCCAGAGAACCTATCCTTAAAACAGGGGGTTGTTGTTACCTGCTGCACAGTTTGGCCCTTGGTGACGTATTCATTCCCCACCTTGACTCGGGGGTAGCAGAGGGCCTTGAGCAGGTCTGCTGAGTTCAGACCCATCAGGTAGGCAGCCTTGTCAGCAACTAAACATCAAAACAATCAGTTGTTAAGGTAAACAGCACTATCCCTTTAAAACATATATCAAAGGGCAGTTCCAGTAAAAAACCAAAATATTATTAAAGATAAAAAAGGGATAGAAAGTAACGGCAGCACTCCTTGGGAGAAACTGGACCTTACAATTTTCATTATTCAAAATAATCTGATTTGAGTTCCTCCAGAGAAGTCCTCTGGCTAGGACCCACTGCTTTTCTACAGTATTGGAACTGGGGAAATGCACAGGCTGAGTCAATCATTCTGACCCTCACATGCTGTCTTCAGCTCAGTGAGTGCTCACTATCTCCCGTGCTCTGGGATGGGTTGTGCTGGTACCTTCGGTGCCATCAGGCTCTGCCTGCTCCTCTCGTTGTTTCTGCTTGAACTTCAGGTTCCCGTAGTGCATGACAGCCCCTGTCAGCTTGTAGATGGCTGTTTTCTCATCAGCAGTGAAGCCCAGGATGTCAATGGCACTCTGACAAAAGAGTTGTTAAGGTGAGTACCCCAGCTGTTAAAGGTCAGAGAAATGAAACATCACGTGAGAAAACTTCTGTTACTCACGTCAGTGGCCATCAGCTCCTCCTGGTCGTTAATGCTGGGAACTGTGATCTCACCTTGACTCACATACAGGTAGTCATAGGGGTTGGTGGTGATCAGTAACATCTCTGAAAAGAAGGACAAAACAGAGCCAGGTCAAGTGCGATCAACACAGAAAGGAATTCAAAGTTGGTCCATGACTTTTCCTTGGAGGACTTAGTGATTTTTCCTACCAATTAGCTCTGGCTTCTTGTTGGACATGATCTGATAAAAGATGTGGTAGCTCCTTTCCGCCTTGAGCTGGAAAGTGACTCTGGACTTCTCCAGCAGATCTGGCAAGGAAGGTAGGACACAGTCAAGCACAAGAAGTGGGGAAGGCTGCAGGGAAGGGGGATCAGGCAGAAGGGTGTCTTACATGTTTCAATGTCAGCAGAAGCCAATTTGCCTGTGGCACCAAAATGGATTCTGATGAATTTACCCTGAAAGCAGCAGGAAAGTCAATTGAGACTTATTTTACCAATCTGGACAGCAAGAATATTCAAATTGATGTTGACAGTTGTACTAATTAATAACTCACAAAGCGTGAGGAGTTGTCGTTCCTCACAGTCTTGGCGTTTCCAAAGGCCTCCAGCAATGGGTTGGCGCTGATGATTTGATCCTCAAGCGTTCCCTGCAGGGTGATAACTATTGCTAGTTTCCTTTCCAAAAATCATGTCAGGAACAAAGGAAAGCATTGATCCCAATATGTATCTACCACTTTACCTGCATTTTGCCTGATGTCTGTTCTTCCTTCTTCTTCTCTCCACTGGCTGCAATTGTTGCAAAGTACTGGATGACACGCTTGGTGTTCACAGTCTTCCCGGCCCCGGATTCTCCGCTGCCAAAGGCAAGAGAGAAGCAGAGGGTGCGTGGTCAGGCAGGAGGTGCCCTGGCACCGGGCAGCCCCGCAGGGACCCGCGCAGGGGGTGTACGTACGTGATCAGGATGGACTGGTTCTCCCCAAGAAATTGGATAGTTGCAGGTTTCTAGCCCTGGGACCTCACCTGCATTTTGCCTGAGGTCTGCTCCTCCTTCTTCTTGTCCCCACTGGCTGCAATTGTTGCAAAGTACTGGATGACACGCTTGGTGTTCACAGTCTTCCCGGCCCCGGATTCTCCGCTGCCAAAGGCAAGAGAGAAGCAGAGGGTGCGTGGTCAGGCAGGAGGTGCCCTGGCACCGGGCAGCCCCGCAGGGACCCGCGCAGGGGGTGTACGTACGTGATCAGGATGGACTGGTTCTCCCGATCTGTCAACAAGGCAGAAACAAGTAGACTTTGTAAATTAAGAACTCAAAAATACTGAAAATTAAGTTATGACAAGAAAAACACCTGCATTCTTTTTCTTCGTTTACTCCTACGGTTTTTTTTCCACTTCAGTTGCTTGCAAAGCAATTTGCACTTGCACTATTTCCTTGAAAGATATTCAGAGATGTCCCTCCAAATATCATAGGGAAGGCCCATGGCATTTTTAAAACCTTCTGTTATTCTGCAATGCTTTGCCATGGGCACTGAAAACCATTGAAGAGCCATATGTTGCTTCTCTGTAACACTCTATACTTTTTTCCTTCTCCTGCATACAGTAAATTGTTTTAACTTTAGGCTACACAGACTACTTTTACAGAAGCGGAGAAAGACAGATTAAACGCGTATGACAAAGGAATCCTGGTCTTGGATAACACTTTGGAACTCAATAGCACAGAGAAAGAAAGGAATGAAAAAGGCAGAAGCAAAACAAGCCATATAATCATATTTCATTTTTCATGAAATGAAAAATTTTCATGACAGGTTTTATCAATACAAAGCAGAACAGTTGTGATCTGATGCCTATGAAGAGAGCCACTCACCAGTCAGCATGAACTGATAGGCGTTGTCAGAGATGGAGAAGATGTGTGGAGGGGCCTCCTGGCGCTTCTTGCCTCGGTAGGCCAACACCACCTCGGGGTTGTACACCGGCAGCCACTTGTAGGGGTTGACAGTGACGCAGAAGAGACCCGAGTAGGTCTGCAAGGAAGGGACACAGCACCTTGGCTTCCCCTGAGCCTGGCCCAGCAGCTCCTGAGGCTGCCCAGAGGAAGCTGCTGCTGCCACTTACGTAGATCATCCAGGCTGCGTAACGCTCTTTGAGGTTGTACAGCACAGCGGGTTCGTGCAGGTGGGTCATCATGGCCATGTCCTCGATTTTGTCATACTTGGGAGGATTCATGGCTGGTTTACTGCGTGCAGCAAGGCACGGCGCTGAAATGGAGAGGCAGTTCTGAGTGAAGGGGAACATTTCTTTATACTAGCTGCCTTAGGCTTGGTAGTGTTCCGCTGTGCCTGTTATTACAGTCTTCCTTTCTGCTTTACCTGCTTTTGACCCTAGATGTGTTTCAGTTTGTTTTAATCTTAAAGAAGATGGGTGTGTTGGATTGAGGTCAAAAGTTTTTTCCCTTTTTCCAGTTTAAAGTTTCAGTTCATTAGTTCTCACTGTGTTTTAAAAGTCTATGCAGAAAAATAGATTGTATGGCAGACTCAGTGGTAATCAAAGATGCAGCAGAAATACCAAGCAGAAGCAGAAGAGATAGCAAGAGAAATCTTCTTATCAAAATTATGAAAGCTCACTTATATTCTTTCTCTGTCTCCCATTTCAGCCCATGTAATTTGTGCCAATTATAGAGATGGAGTATCATCAGGGAACAGATGTGGAGTAAGCAGAAGCAGAGGTCGGAGTTGTCTATGCAAACCTTTTTCCTCTGTTGAGAAATCAGAGTTTTGTTTTCTCCAGTTGTTCTGCCTTTTCCTGTTCAAGCTCACCCTTTAATATTTACTTGTATAGAAAAAGGAAAATTCTCAATAAAAAGCATTTGGAGGGATTTGACAAATCTTTACTATACATGTGCTCTTCATTCATCTTTTCTTTCCTGGATTTCTGTTTACAGTCAATCTCCTTTTAAGAGTTCTGTGTGTAAGTAGTCAATTATTTCCCAGCAGGTACCAAACAAATGCATCCAACACAGTTATAAAAGGAAACTTGCTCTTTTAGACAGCACAGCTCAGGTAGAATTGCATTGCTTTAGCGCACACAGATGTAAAGGGTTATGGGAAGTGGCCTTAGAAATGCATAAAAAAAAGCAAACCTGGAGTCTGTTCCTATGGAGTAAGTAAATCAGTCTTACCTCTTGTGTCACCAGTTGACTCTAAGCCTGGAAGCTGGCCAATACTGAAAAAGAGAAGTGACAGCTTCTTTCTTATCTTTGCACAGACTCCCAAGAATAAGCCACAGGGCAAAAACATGCCAGTGACTTCAACAGAGAGGAAACATGCCTATTGAGACAGACAGTTCTTTGAGGAAAGCAGTTCCACAGGCAGCAGGAATGCTGTGGGGTTCTGCCAGCACTCAACTGCCCCTATTCTTACCTTTAATCCTTCCACAGAGGCAGGACAGGCTTGTCCTACCAGCACTTTTATAGGTTCTGGTTTGCACATTCAATTCCCTCCTCCTCTTTCTTAGGTCAAAAAATTTTTGGCAAAGCATTGTTTGGCAAACTTGACTGAGTGTATGATTCCCATTCGTGCTTGTGGATATATTTAGAAATATTTGAGGTCTTCCTAGCTATGTGAATAAATCTCCTATAAATATTATGACTAAGAATTTAGGAAGGAGGAAGTGCAGTCCAGCAAATAGAGCACGACACTGGATCTTGGAATTATTGGCTTCTCTTCTCCGGTTAATTGCTGTTTGACATATAAGATTTGTGTGTCTCAGGACTCAGCAATAGTTAGAAGGATTACTATTTCAAGAGCTTTGGAGGGAATCTGTTCTAAAATATTCTGGAAATAAAGAATAAGAGTAATCTAGTATAGTCTAATTCCAAGACTGGATTACCATATCATGCTTGTGTTATTGCACCTATTTACAACTCCTTAGCTTTTTGCTGGGTACTTTCAAAATATCAGGTAAAACAAATTATTCCCCTTGATTCATACATTTAATTACATCTTTTGTCTTCTTCTGAAGTATTACTGAGTGGCTGTGATTTGAAATTCAATTTTAAAGGTATTATTTTGCCATTCTCCATATCTGGCTGTGCTGGTTTGCTCTGATGTATGTCCACGAGAAATTTCAGTAAGCTCACACTAGCAGAAATTCCTAAGGATGCATTTTAGATCTTTCACCTTTTAGGTTTATTGGCAGTTTTAACTCACCAGCCTCCTGCTATTTTAGAAACCTTGGACAGTGGCTGTGGTTACCAAATGCAACAATGGGATTTAGATCCCAAGCTGTCCTCCTCCAGCCTTCCCAAGCACAAACACAAATGCCACTGAAATACAGAGAATTCCTGAGAGACTTTTCATTTTCTTTGCAAAGAATTAGGAAGGATCTGCTTTTCAAAGTTCTTCCGACTCACATTTTCTCTCAAATGTCAGGAAATTGAAGCAATGTGAGAAGAATGACCAGTCTCCTCAACTCACTTCTTAAAAAAAACATTTGTGTGCTTATAACACTGCATGTATGACTGAAACATCTGAGATCATGTATTCTTGTACGAGATTGCCAATGTCTTTCTGAAAAATATATGTGGAGATAATTTCTGTTTGAAAAATAATATTCTGTGTTTGTGGAATTGTCACTGAAGAAAACATCATCCTCTGGCATACAAAAGATGGTAAAGGGAGAGAAAGAAAGGAGAGATTTTCCTCCTCTTCTTCTAATGCATTACATAACACCTTAACAAAGAATAGACTTGACTGTTCTTTATATGTCATATGAAATTAACTCCAAGATGAATTTGCAGTTTTTTTATAAACTTGTCTCTTACTTCTGACTCCTGAGTTGTGTGGGAACTTAAAGCTTTCCATCTGAGAGCCATATAGCCATAGGAAAGTTCCCATCCAGTATCTCCTTTTACAGTTATTACTGTGTTTAGGTGTCTAGTTGCTGCTGTAAAATGATTCCTCATAATTCAATTTCCCTCCTGGGTTCTCTGCACATGTCAGTTAAAGAAGATGACATGGATTCCTGCACTGGTTCAAAGGTCACACTTGTAGTATATCATCCTCTCTGTCAGTTTGATATCTTGCATTTTGTTTCATCTCCTAGAGTAATGAGAATCATCTGGGAAGGCAACAGATTCAACAAGAAATGACAGATGGCTTGTTTTTCTGTTTCCTCCTAACCTAAAAGCCTGACAATAAAGGAACACTTTCTACAGCCTGATTTTCATCTGCCTTGTTTAGGAAATAGCACCTCATCTATATTTTTTCTTGCAGTGAGTACAACATCAGGCCCAAAGCCATTCTAGGGCTCTGAGTTCTCATAGATTGCCTTGCTTCTTCATGTTCTGTGAATTTTGTGAATATTTTCCATCTTTGTGATATCTCATGAGCCCATTATATTTCAGACCTTTTACAGATTTTTTTAAACTAGGATGAAATAGTGTCAACTTGTGCTTAAGCTATTTTCTGCTCTTTTCAAATTTTGGAAAGGATTACATACAGATTTTTCATTTGTGGATGGAAAAAAGATTCATAAATACAGAGAAGTGAGGGTTCTACTTCTGTAATTGTAGAGATGGACTTCACACTACTGAAAAAGTTATTGACCTCAGTCTTCAACTCATCTTTCTCCTTTGACAGCTTCTGCTTGATGTTTTGCAGGTTTTTACTCACCAAATTCATCCATCTACAGTAGTTAGTTTGTGAAACAAAAATTAAAACAACATGTTTTCCCCAAGACTTCTGAGACTCTGCTTCTTCATTCCTGATTCCTCTGCCTCCAACTCCAAGCAGTCCAGTTAGGTAGGGAATGAGAACTAGAAGTGATTCCATAACAGTTTCTCTCTGCTTCTTCTTCCTCTTCATACTTCTCCCTTGCTCCAACATGGGCTCTCCATGCAATTCCATGCAATTGCATGGGCTGCAATTCCTCCAGGAAATTTCCACCTCCTGCAGTGCTGGGTCCTTGAGATGCATGTGGATATCTTGTCTACAGTGGTCCTCTCTGCAGGCTGCAAGGAAATCTCTGCCCCAGTGACTGGAGCACCTTCTCCTGCTCCTTCTTATTTGACAAGATGGAACACATGATCAAAAGAAACAAAGCACTCACTAAGGTCAAACTCATCAACAGACACTGCTATTTTTCTATTCACTAAAATGGTAATTTCATCACAGAAAGCTTGATAGGTATTATTTCTTCTGTTAAGAACTCCCAGTGATCTTCTTGTCAATCAGTGTAGACAAAATAAGTTTCTATGAAGATTTTGCCTCCACTGAATAACAGTCTGGCAAGTTAATTCAGAAACTTGAGTAATATACCACAAAACCAGATAATGAGGGTAAAGCAAAGGTGGGAAATGTTGGTGGACATTTTACACTTCTTGAGAGATCTAAAGATGATGGAATTTGAAATTGGGACATTGGATGTTGCAGGTTGGATAAGGCCTTCTGCAGCTTGTGGAGATATGACCACCCATCCTATGTACTGATCTATTTTGCCAGGGATACCTGGGATATATCTTTCCCCATATCTTTTTTTGCATCTCCTGGTTCACTGGCTGCTCCCCAGAGCCAGATGTGCTGTTTCTGTTTTTTTTGTTGTTGTTGTTCTTACATACTACTCTTCACATTAATGTTAGGCTTAGGGGTATAATAGTGTTGATTTATCACATTACAAAAAATATTTATGCTGCAAAGACATGTGAATTTGTTGTTTTTCATAGTCCTCAGTTACAATTAATTTTCAGTGAAAATTTCATGCTAGATCTGTGCTAGGGATTTGATTTGGGGTCATAGGTGGAAATATGACTCTTATTAGAGACCAGTTGCCTTTGGAGCCTTGTATAAAGCAAATGTATTCAAGGAGTTGGTGACACTTACTCGGTTGGTCCTTGCACTGTGGACTTTGGAATTCCGTATGTTATTAAGGTAAGCTTTAAGTTAAATATCTATGAGAAAGGCAAATTGTGTCTGTATCAAGGAGTAGAATGTCTCAATCCTGATCAGGAGACCACTGTACATGGAGAAGTCAATGATCTGCACCACAGTTAACCTCAGAGTGCCCAGGTCCACACTGAGCTGTGCTGCCCATCCTGGAAATCCTGCCCATCACACAGAAATGCACCACCTTAGCTGTGCATTTCTGTGTGAATCATATCTTTTCTTGTACTCTCTGTCATTAGCATCGCTGCTGTTATTGTTCTTTTTCTTATCTCATTGCTATTTCCAGT